GTTCTGGTTCTGACCCGTCCAGTGACTCCCAGTGCTGTTCACTCCTCCCTCGCTCTCTCTCTTCCCGTCTCTTTGCCGCTTGTTTCCTTCTTCCTGTTTTCTGCTGCCAGCTTCCTGTTCCCAGGCGGCCGGCATAGCAGCAGGAGAACCAGCCCGCCGGGTCATTGGACCACTTCAGATGGGATCAGCAGCAGAATCTGCTCTTCATGTTGGAGTTTTACTTGTTTTGATTCAACGCCGTTAATCCGGAGCTGAATCTGTCTGCCCAGCAGGAGGCGCTGCAGCAACAGAACTGGGTCCGACGGGCCGGACCCTCTCTGGCTCTGGTTTTGGTTCTGACCTGGAAGAAGTTTTCTTTGTGCGTTGATGTTACATCTCAGTGAGAAAAATCTGATTTTCTGCCCTAAAACTGTCATAACTCCTGATATTTCTTCTTCTTCTGTGGTTTTGCTCTCAGGTTGAACACCCCCTGCAGGCCGCCATGGGAGCCGCAGCAGCTGCCTGAGCGTCTCACCTGTTGGATGGCTACAGGTGAGAACCACTGGAGGGTCTATGAAGTGGCTCAGCAGGTGAGGAACACCTGGTGGCACGCCACAGGTGAGCCGGGCTCCGTGGACAGGACCGGAGTGACGAGGGGGCGGAGTCACATGGGAAGTGCATGCCATGGAGGTCAAAGGTCAACTCATTTTAGCACCTGGTAAGAGAGAATAGTTGGTAAAATATGTCCGTCTCCCCTGCTTCCTGCTTCCTGTCTCACCTGTGTCCTGTGTGCAGAGCCCCTCACCTGTCCAAGCAGGAGGCAAAAAGAGCGAATGGCAGAGCTGCAGGAGAGGAGGCGGAGCCTGCAGGTGCTACTGAGCGCGAGATTGGCCGAGCTGAGGCGAATCTGCCTCCAGGAGGCGGTGAGTGATGTCACAGCAGGAAGTGAAGCCTGATTGGTCCGGCCGCTGTGCACTGAGGTGTGTGCTGTGCTCTGATTGGTTAGGAGCTGACAGGTGCGGTGCCCAGCGACTTCCCTCTGGAGGCGGGCGAGAAGCCGCCCTGCATCCGCAGACGAGCGGCTCCGACCCGCCAGGGGAACAGGAAATGTCGAGTGGAGGTGAGCCGGGTTTCTCATCAGGTTAAGACAGAACCAGGCGATAACAGAACCTCTGACCGGGCCGTGGGACTGAACCGTTTCGTTCTGCAGTGACGGGTTCTGATGCATCTGAAGGCTAAGGTTCTGTTGTTCCGGTCCAGAACCAGCAGAACCCAGAGGTGGATCTAGTGTAAAACCAGCTGGGGTTCTGTTTGGAGGTGTAGTCTGGCTCTGATGAAGCAGCGCCCCCTGCTGGTTGGCTGACCTGGTTCTGTTTGTGTGAAGCAGGAAGAAGATGGCCAGCGGTCCAAATCCAGAAAAACGCTGTTCAGCGCCGCGCTGAGGAAACACAGCGACTCTGAGAATGGCACACACACTCACACACACACACACCACGGCAAGAGGACGGTGCACCGGGGTTGCCACACAGGTAACACACACTTATATGGACCCGTTGCGGTGTGATGTCACACAGCAGGTCCCGCCCCCAGCTTCCTGTTGCAGGGCTAAAATCCTGGATATAAGCAATAACATGCAGCGTCTCTTCATTTCCACACTGTAACCTCGAACCCACAAAATACCCTATTTCCCGGACTATAAGCCGCTACTTTCTTCCTAAGCTTTGAACCATGTGGCTTATATGTGGATTTTTCTTCAACCACCAGGGGACTGTTTAGCAGGAAGTGAATCATTGGAAGTCAAAATTGGAAATAAAAGAAGAAAGTGCCCATTAAAACGGAATTAGGTTTTAACAGGGAATTGAAATTTGAGAATGTTGTTGATCAGTTAAATAGCATTGAGGGGAAAAATAAGATTTTTAATTTTTTTAAAATAATACTGGGATCATTATGAGAATTTGAGGTATAGATATTAGGATCCAATAGATGGCAGTAGTGCAACAATAATGGATGCAAGCTGCTGTTGAAATCTAAAGAAGAATAATAAGAAAGCGCCCATTTTCATTTAGCACATGCTAGTAGCAGACACGAAGGATCAGCACTTTTACTGTTATAGTTACCGTTTGGAAACTACCGGTTCAGTTAAATCTAAACTTGGCAACTTTTTCTTTTTCAACCATAATAAATGTGATATTCAATTGACCTGTTATGACTCAAATTTTGGGTGTCCGCCCCCCTCTGCTGTGTGCTGCTGCATCGTTGTGGAAAACCTAGAGCGGCAGAGATATCTGCGGCTTATAGTCCGGAAAATACGGTATTTATTTCATAAATAGTGTTATTTCCTGGATTTTTTTCTGTGAAGAACCCAGAGA